CAAACTAAGTCTGGAGCCATCAACTATTTCTCGTAAGTATAATTCATATTCTTCTCGTAGTTCCTTTTGCATTTTTTTGTTCCCACCATAATTCAAATCCCATCGTTCATAGATTTTCTTAACATCTCTTAACCATTCAGCATAACTAGCATCAGTAATTTGCAAGCCTACACTTATTCATTCTTTAGTTTGTGCATAACTAAATCCCTTCCTCTGTCACTTTTTCTGCAATTTGCGAGTAAAATCCTCGTGTATTTCTTTTCAATCAGTCATGTTATTACATGTTATACAATTATAAAAGTGCTGCAATCCCACAAAGTAAAAATAATCTTAAATATGGAAACACCAACACAAACCAAAACCACACGCACCCAACACTTCTTTAGCCGAGTAAAAAAAGAATGACTAGCCCAATTAAAAAAAATTGCTTACGAAGAGGATATTAAGTATGTGGAAGTTATCAACACGGTTGGTAGGCCCTTGGATTTTTATGAATAAAGTAATTTGCTAGGATTTTTAACATGATTCAAATCCATTGTACTACTTTTCAAAAACCTGTTGAGTTCTCAATAATTCTCCATTCTCATCTTCGTATTTAACATTTTCTTTTAGAGGATAGACATTATCCTTTAACTAGTCGTTCTTATTATGATATTATGTGTGTGCTAAGTGCGATTATGTAGGAGATCCGGAAGTCTTTTACCCACTTCGGCCAGATTATTTTCCCCATGAGAGCATTTTTTTCGCAATTTTTGGCTAAAATTTTGCGAACGATTTTCTGTATACGAATCTGGAGAAGAATTTACTAGTAATTTTAGCTAATTTTTTTAGCCGCAAAATTGGGAGAATAAATGGTTTATAATTAAAATATATGATAACTAATCATACCTTAGAGAGCGATAATTCGCCGCTAGTAAACTTGTCAGAAGAAGAAAACACGAAACTAGGCAACGGCGACAATTGCTCGTTTCCTGGTCCAAACCAGAAAGAACGGAGTGAAAACCGGATTAAATCCCTATTTGTGGTCCAAAAGGTCAAGGTTTCAAAAATTGCCTCCTCGCGACTAAATTTTACTCATGCTAATTAATAACCCATTTAAGGAGCTAAATGACCAACAAAAATTAGCCCAGGAACTAATACTCGCGGGAAAGAGTGTTTTTTTGACTGGAGCGGCTGGAACCGGCAAGAGTTTTCTTTTAAACCATTTAATCGGGCTCTTACAAGAAAAATACGGCGGC